ATATTATTTTTATTTCTTATATTTTTTTCATTTTATATTATATTATTTTTATTTCTTATATTTTTTATTGATTTTCTTTTATTTCTTTGATATCGTTATGACAGATATAAAGAGTTTAATATATTTTCTAATTTCTTTACTGAAGTGAAAAATCCTATTGGAAAAAAATATTGATAAAAAAAAGATTTGTTTTGATCACTTTGTCAAATGGAAATTTTTCCGACTTGTATATAAATTCGATTTGAATATTAATCTAATAACGGAATTATTTCTTATAGATATATATAGCTGTTGCATTCCGGGTTTTTTTTTTTTTTTTTTTATTGTCTGCTGCCAATCATACTTTTCTCTATGATAGCAATCGCGTGCGAGAGAAATCGCGCAATCGTGTTTTATGTATATATATCCTGCAGTCATTTTATTTCCACAAAAAGAAGCACGGCATAAAGCACTATATGTCGTACATACATATCGATGAGAATGACGGCGACGATGGATCGATCGAAGAATCGGTGATACTCGCGAGAGAACCGGTTTACTCGACAATTTTCCGACTGCGCCCATGACCTTAGCACCGCTTTCACTCATAGGGAAAGTTTCCTCCCCGGTACTGGAGGGGTTGCTCTCAACAGTCGCGACGACGGGGAGAAGATCCGTGAGAGTCGTAGAAAAAATTAAGCGAATCCATTAAGGAAGCCTCCATTGATTCACCTGGAATCATCGTTTTTCTTTTCCCTTTCACAAGCATTGCACTTCCTTCAATTTCCCCTTTTCTCAGCGGAGGGCTGCTGCAAAGAAAATTTCAATTTCCTTCTCACAAGATGATATCGGTCATTGTTCGTGCAAACAAACACTCAAAAAAATGTCTTGCTGATATAGGTAGATTTCTAGGTGTCACAACAAAAATTTATCGCTATTTTTTGTATCTGTTAGAATATTGTCTGTTACATATAGAATTTATAGCAGCAACATTCTAATAATATCTTCTAGAAAATTTAGGTCCCATTGCCAAATGTTAATCACTGCATTGGATAAATATGAGTTTCGATACTACAGAACGATCTTTGTGAGAAATATAACTGCCAATTATAACTGCAGCATCGAAAAATTGAGAAAAATTGTTTAAAAGAGCTAGATAGATTGAGCGCGTTATACAAATATGTTAGACGTGAGGATTATATATTCATTTGTTTCTTGCCGCTAATTTTTTCTGTCTACCACAGCCAAACTTTATAACAAGTATGATTGGCCTTAACATGGATAGGCGCCACAGAAAAACATTCTTTCTAAATTTCACAAACAGTTCAGATATAAATTCTGTCTCTGTCACTTAGATTGATTAAATGCGAAACATATGCGATATCACAGTATTTGCTAATCATTTATGTACCTCAGTTAATTTTGCGCACCCAGAAAATTTTTGCTGTAGTTGCAAAACCACTTTTTTGAGTGAAAGTAAAATATTCCGATCTGGAAGGGGTTCGATTTTGTATCGCGAGACGATAAAATGATAATAATTACATCTCTCGGATAAATAACTATTGTTCGCGTCGTCCTCGTTGAAGGAACAGACCGTTATTTCGCCCATAATGACACCTCGTCCGATTCAATCCGTCCCGTGCCTTTCACGTTGGGCGAGCACGAAATAGAAACCGCTAATTTCCGTCATCGTCGTCATCGTCATCATCATTGTCGTCGCATGCGTCCTGCGAGGAAGGAAAGACGGGGCCGCGTTCGCGAAAGTCTTTCCCTCGCGTTTGTTCGGTTCAGAGATTATCGTGCTAGTAGGACGACTTGGCATCTTTGACGTCTTGGCGAAACTAATTAGCACAATTTGTCATACCTGTTGTCGGCTCTTTAAGATTAATCGCGTCCTTCGAACAGGGCTCGAAATATCTATCGATCGATCCAGCGTAGATCGTTATCTCGTTGACAACGCAAATCTTTCCGCGGCGCTTTTATAGAAAAACAAAATTATACCGAGTCATATCATCGATTCTTAGTCCATGAATAAATCAAGATTATATGTGAAAGTGAGAGTGAGATAATTATATGGACAAAGTTAGAGATGTACAAAAACCGTTTTTTTTTTTCTAATAAAAGAAAAAGTCGAACGATTTAAACGATAAAGTCAGTGTTCCCAATTGGAGAAGGAGATGGCTCGAATTTTTTTTTTTTTTTTTTTTTTTGAA